ATATATATATATATATATATATATATATATATATATATATATATATATATATATATATATATATATATATATATATATATATATATATATAACAATACGCCGCTTATTAATGAAAAACCCGAAAACTGCATTCACGGAATAAGAGTGGACTTGGGTTCATCAACGTTACGCTGAAAAAACAAGGACTGCTGCATGGGTCTTATACAACAAAATCTTACCGTAACCTAGTTGACAAGAGTTATCTATGTCGCAGACAGATTCCTGGATAGAGACTCTCTGATTTTCACGCGGTTCCCATTCTGTGCCTATTAACAATTCACTTCCTAAACATATTTTATATTCATGATCCCCTTGAAAGTACTTTAAATTGTCATTCGCTGTTGGTCGGTATCTTCCGCTTGTCTCACGACAAACTGATCCATGTCTAAGGAAAAGGTTGGCATTTCCTGGATCTCCTAAATTCCTGGAAAACAACAACAGAGTAAAATCGAAATAAAGTACTTGTTAGAACACCTGTATTACATTTACAACTTTTAATCCAACATATGTTAAACACAGAACATACGTCCTTGGTAAAACACATTTCCCAGTAGCCACGTGATATGGTGGATAGTCGTATGATACCAAAAAGAAAGCATTTCTTGACGTACAGTCTGTTGACCAAATCAAAGTGTCAGAACCATCTTTCATATTTACACATAATCCGTTAGAATGTTGTATTGGACCGTAATCTAAAATTGAAATGAAATAAAAAAATGTGATGCTAATCGTTATGTTGTTGGTAAGGGTAAAGGATGACGATGGTAAGGGTGTTGATGGTGAGGAAGAAAGGGTGGTGATAGTAAGGGTGATGATAGTAAGGGTGATGATAGTAAGGGTGATTATGGTAAGAGTGATGATGGTAACGGTCATGATGGTGAAGGGTGATGATTGTAGGGTAGTGATGGTAAGGGTGGTGATAGTAAGGGTGGTGATAGTAAGGGTGGTGAAAGTAAGGGTGATGATGGTAAGGGTGATGATTGTAGGGTAGTGATGGTAAGGGTGGTGATAATAAGGGTGGTGATAGTAAGGGGTGGTGATATTACGGGTGATGATGGTAAGGGTGATAATGGTGATAATGGTAAGGGTGATGATAGTATGGGTGGCAATGGTCATGATAGGAATAAAATCGTGGGATAAAAATATAATATTGCAGGATAATATAGAATACAGGACTGGAGGTGTTCCTTCCAATAATTAACAATCAAAATAACATTTTACAGAGAACCCCTACCTTTTTTTTCAAAATAACATTTGGGAGTTGTTGTCTCATCAAAGCAACATGTCTTGGGACAATCTTTTTCCAATGAAACATCATCTCCACATTCGGTTCTTATACCTGATGACAATTCACATGGAAGCGCTACAAAACAGGAATCGATTTTTTATTGTCTATTTACATTTTCATGCAGTTTTAGCAGCTTTTGAACGAATGAATGGCCGTCGTTATACAAATGACACGGATCATCCGTCAAGACACATCACCATCCAAACAAACTACTGGAGTGGTCTCTCAGATCATCTGCGGTAGTAAAAACATAAAACGAACTTTCAAGACGAACTAGCAAAAATAGTGACCTATAGTCGTATTAACAGATCTGGAAAAAGATATCATGTCTGATATATCTCTAAAAATCCTCCAAAAATCCAGATCAGTAACGGATCGCCTCTATTCTAAGGGCGCTACGGCGGGGGTGGGGTGGGGTGGGGTGGGGTGGGGGGTGATGTGCGTTCCCCCACGTTTTGGACATTCGAAATATAATCTATAAAACCTACGCCTATTGCCCAACTCTCTTTTTTGAATATATTTTCGCTCTTTTCTACGTCTAGTATAATTGTATAAATCTGGTCCATATCATGTGAAGGGCACAAAATTTGCAACGCACATCAATTTTCATCAGTACTGTATTTATAGAAGAACTATGTACAAGATTCGTGAAATTGTGCATGCCATGCCAAGTATCTATAATCAGGCTCAGTATAGGCACTGACCTTTGTTTAACAAATATAAAACATTTTCCGTGTTGATATACAGTTATATCAACACGAGTGGAATTGGGAAAACGAGAAATTGTATGGAAACACGACGCCCG